AGCATTTTCTTATGCTAAAATTATTTCCAACAAATCACCCAACAAATACAGGTGAACTTAATGGTGGGTCTAATATCATTTGGAAACTATTCTATTAGTCAAAAAGCTTATATTGCTCTTTTTTACTAGGCAGAATGCAAAGACACAATGTTTCTGTTAAAATAGAATATTTGTATTGTTTGCTAGGATAAATTTATTAGTAATCCTTTTATAACACTAAGTTTTAATAAAATTATGACTCGTTGTGGTAAATAGTGCTTGTATAAATTCTATCTAAATATCAATACTTATTTCATCAGATATGTACTGCAGATTCTAAAAGTCTGGTTAAGAAATGCTTCATGTCTGAAAATGTACATCAGGTTAAATATAGAAGGTATATTTAAGCTTACAATTCTTTGGAATTTTTCCTAGGGAGAGAAAAACTGTCCCAACAATGTGTCAGTCATCCGGCCAAAACAAAATGTATAGCAGGTAGCACACAAGAAAACAAAGTTTTTTCTTCTTTTTTTTTTTAATAACTAAGAATTCAATACTGATTATTTTTTTTTTTTTTACAAATAACTGGTATTGGTTTCAGATCAGAGAATAATAGAATAAAATACAAGAACATGTTTGCTATGTCTTATTTAAATCAAGCTCTTCTGGTAGGTGTGCATCTATTTGAGCTGCATGTGCCAATGAGAAACCTTAAGTCTTTTGGGTAGACCCCACTTCTGCATGTTACCATTAAATAAAGACCACTTTCAGAATCATCTAAATGTCACACTTCATAAGACCCCTCTCTCTCACACAAGTTTTGAAATCAGCAGGGACCAATTTGACAGAGGAAAGAAACCACACTGGGATCATAAGTAATTTATTTTTTCCTGATTCAAGTCTTTGCAGTTTTAATATGATTTATCAGAATATGGTTGATTAAGAATATGTGGCATATTTACTTATTACATTAATATTAGAATTTAGGGACCACAAATATCACATTTACTATTGATAATCATGATGTATTCTGATGTTGCTTCTTTAATGTAAAAATGATAAGTATTTTGGTCTACTTTGTAGTATGGACTTTCTTCTAGAGGCTAACTCTAAGTAATACCAGATTTAGCAGATTCTTTTCATTACTTGTAGAAAAATGTGGATATTTGATCAGATAAAAATGCTTTTTCTGAATCCAAAGAATTTGTGTTGGGACTTACAATGTGCCAAAGATAATTTGATACCATTCATATTTGATTGCTTTGTTAGCTTGAGTTTGAAAGGAAAACAACATCTGCCTGTTGCCGAAGTCCATTCCCTTTGAACCACGCTTGGATAAAGCCCACAGCTGAAGCCATTTACATAATGAAAAAAAATCACTATTGTCTGGCTTGTAGAATAGTTTTTTGTACCTTTCATACTTTGTACTGTGCTTAAAATAGTGAAAACAATATTAGATTTCTTTCTGAGTATCAAGCTCTTCCTGTTTAAAAGTAACTTTATAATTGTAAGTTAATATTCAATATACTTGAACACTAATAGCATGGGAAGCCAAAACTGGTACCTAAGCACTGTGTATGGCTCAACATCACAGGAAGGTCACAAAATTGCAGAGTCAGAGAATCACGGAATATGCTGAGTTTGAAGGGATGCACAAGAATCATTGAGTCTAACTCCTGGCCCTACATAGGGCCATCCCCAAGAGTCCCACTATGAGCCTGAGAGCATTGTCCAAACGCTTCTTGAACTCTGTTAGGCTTGCAGCTGTGACCACTGCCCTGGGGAGCCTGTTACAGTGCTCAACCACCCCTCTCCAAATAAAAAAAAAATCTTAAACACAGCACAGTCTGTCTGTGGGGCACCCTTTCAGTAAGCATTGAAGATCATGGAAGCTTGGGATGATTTGTTTATCTCCATGATTAACAAATCCATGACCTTCATTACTGTGCAGTGAACGTGTCACCTTATGACTGTTACATCCCCATCTCGAACCTGTCTGCATTCAGATTGCACCTGCCTGACCCAAAGCTCCATGACTGTAACACCCTGAAAAGTCAGCCCATAACTCTGAAGCGCTTCGGAGGGAAACAACACAGACCACTACAGTCTTAGTAGCTCTAACCAAGAGGGACTGGAAAAATCAAGTGATCAATAGTCACATCAAATGAGAAAATTATATTCCAGGATTCAGCATTTGAGATCCCATATGATAAGCACTGAATGGTTATGAACTAATATCAAAGTATCCTATTTTGTGAAATCAGCTTTGTCCATTGTGAATTAAATGTATTTTGATTCTATTGGGTTTAAAATTTCCATCTATGAATAAAAGAGACATGTGTGTTGATATTGAATTTTGACTTGCATAAACTGTTTGTGGTCTCGCAACTGCAATCAACATAGGCCATAGTAATATTGTTATAAGTTAAAAAATGAAATATTTTTTAAATTAACTGAAAAGTTAAAACAAATGATTAGGTATACTAAAAAATATGGCTTCTTACAAAGACTGAGTAGTGGAATTTTTTAATTTATTTCTCATAAGAATTTACAAAGATATATCCCATTTCTTTATGAATTATGAGTTGAATATTTCTTAAAGATCATTACAGTTATTTGGGCTAGAGTGCAGGTGGTGGGAGAACAATGGGAAAATATACACCCACGCTTTCAGTCTTATCCCACCTTGTCTATTACTTTTGTTCCAACTCATCAGCACAGTAACAGAAATAATTGCGAGCTACTCACAGTTTCATCTTTTATACAACGCTGTTTCTTACGCAGTTAATAGAACTGAAGATAAAGGCAAGGGCTGAACTTACTTTCAGAAAAATGCCAATGCTGCCATTTTCCCCCCAAAATACATACACATACAGTTTTCATTCATAAACTGAAAAACAAACTAACCCCTACAAGAGATGGAAAAGGAAAAGAAACATAATTGATTTCCTTGGGGTCTTTTTCTTCATGACTTTGGACACAGGGGCTGAAGCACAGTGTCCTAGATTTTGACATTGGGCATTGTTTTTCAGATGTAGGCAGGGTAGATGAATTTACTACCTCCTCCTTTGTATGTTTTTTTCCATGGAGAAGTGAGTGACCTTCTGATAGTTATTGTTGATAAATGGTGAAAGCACATTTGTTCTTTACTGGGGGTATTACCCTGTTATTACAGGTCAGGTCTCCTACACTCTACTTCTGATGTGGAGTTGTCTTTAGAATAGTCACTTACAAAGGGTTGTTTCCTTAAAAAATATCTCATTACTTTTTCTGCAAAAATATAGAAACCACGGCAGAGTGCTTACATTTGTCAGTGGCCTTCTTGCAAGAAAATTAAGAAAGTGGGACCTTAACTATTTGGTAAAAACATCCTCTCAAAATCAATTCTAGCTCATATAAACAAATTAATTTCCCTAGATCTACTTTGTATTTATGTTATTTTCCTCATAAACAGGAAATCACTTATTGGTCATCTGTGGTAATATTTTATGTGTTCAGTCAGAAACATTTACTCTACTCCCTGAAGCACCAATAGCACTTCGTCATATTAAACCAGATATTGTTTTCATATGTTTCATCAAATAGTGCCTATTCTCTACTCCCATGTTTTCTTCCGTTATGTTACCAATAAAGATGGCTACAGACAACAGCAAAATTATACTAAAGAGAGCCAGAGTACCATATAGAGCTTCTTACCTTTAAATAATTCAGGTACTGCTGACTGTGACCAAAATTCATAGCAATCTGTCAGTAAGTAGATTTAATTTAGTTAAACACAGTAATCCCTTCCTACTAGACAGCTGGCCACATAAACCATGCCACTAGTCGGAAAATCTCAGCAAAAAGACCAGTAAGTGAATGAACATGGAGTTTTATCCCTATCCAGAAACAATTAAGAATACATATATTTCAATTTTTATGTATATATATCTACAATATATATATAATTAATATATGTGTATACTGAACAAAATATTTTCTCATATTTTAGGAGCATATACTTCATGGAAATTATAGTTTAATAATTATGACCTAGTTTTTTATTATACCAATATCTCAAAATGCAGACATCACACATAGCTAGATTAATAAAAATCTCAACCCCCTACATTTCCCAAAAATTACCAAAACTTTTGTATTTTCCATTCAAAACCAAGTTCTTTGAATAGCACAAATGATAGAGAGGAATTTGTCAGTTACAAGGACCTGATCAAAGCTATGTGTGTTGAAAGCTATGTAAGTTTGACTGGATGGATACAACACAAATATTGATTAAAAAACCCCACATATTTATTCTAACAACCTTTCAAGATATCTTTTAAATTTACATGAAGTTTGTTATCACTCTTGTGCATTAATATCTCAGATCTGCAGAAACAGATCAATCCGTAGTCAATAGATAAAACAAGGTACTTTACTGAATGCATTCAAGTTACAACAGAGAGCAGAAAATCTCTTTTTGCTGGTAGTTGAGGAGAAGAGAGACTCAAGTTACTTCTGTAAATTACCATAATTACCCAAGCAACCTCTTCTCTTTAGCAGTATCAGCTTCATATTTGAACTTAGGGATTTGGTAAATGCCCTTCCTCTAGCAAAGAACGCTGAAGTTCATAGAATCATAGAATCACAGAACGGTTTGGGTTGAAAGGGACCTTAAAGATCATCTAGTTCCAACTCCCCTGGCATGGGCAGGGACACCTTTAACTAGATCGGGTTGCTCAATGCCCTGATCAATCCGTCATTGAATGCTTCCAAGAACATTTCCGGTGATGGGGCAAAGCTTTTCGTGGCAGATTAAAAATTCTTGTCATTTTATGTTTTCACACATAACCTGATGAATTCCATTACTCATACCATTTGCTTTGGAGTAATCCATAAAGTATTCAAAGAAGACAATGGTGTAAGTCTTATGCTTCATCAGGTACAGTTAAAGGATGACATAGACAGATCAACCTGACTGACTTGTAAATGCAAGTAACAAATGAGGGAGGAAAAGAGCACACCGAAATGGAAATTCTTACTCCCTTTGACTTCTCAATTTATTGTCAATAAGCATCTGTGGTTGACCCTGGTCTTTATAAGGAAATAGGTCCTGAACTGAATGGCAGCATCAAACAATAGCATGTAAAGATCATTGTCATTAGGAGGTGTTTTAAGGTGAAAAAAGTTTAAGTTAGTAATGCTGACAGCTAGCTAACAAATTATTGCATATATGTAGGTGAATGCACATACATAGCATGTGAATGAAAGAAAAGTGACATGATTCCAGTCTGCCAGTTGATTAAGAGGTGAGAACTGCCAACCAGGAGTCTGGTCACACATTGTGCTTCTGCACAGGGACTGTTTTGATCAGGAAACGGAGGGTTTGAATTCTGGAAAGAAGAGCAGGTGTGAAAAAGAAGGGTTCCCAAAAAGAGGAAGCAGTCTTGGAAAGATGAAGGTGCTGGATCCTGGAGTTCAGATTATTGGGTGGAAATCCATGCCAATTGAGCACTCAGAGACCTTGCCCACTAACACCCAAAACTGGTGACTGAGCAGTAGATAGCATGAAGTGGCATGACTTTCTGCCCATCCTTCCTGGATTGACCTCCCTGCAGGGAAGGGAACTTGAGACCTCAGAATAAAGCCCAGGGTAAAGCAAGGGAATCAGTGTGTGGGACAAACAATCAGGGTAAAAGATTCAGTCCTACTGGTTCATAAATAAATGGCAGCATCCAGATCCATTAATGCTTGCAATTTGCTTTGTTTCACCTGCAACAGAAGAAAAATAATTTCTATAATTTATTTCTAGAAATGGTTTTTTATTATCCCAAGATGGTATAATTTTTTTTGGTTTAGGGTGGAAAAAATTAGTTGCAGACATAACTTAGAAAATGTGATGCTTTGAGACAGACCCTCTCCTTCCTCACTCCTAAATGGCAAATTAAATTAAGAGGAAAAGACCTTGGAATAGAAGTGCAGAAGGTTTAAAAAACCCTTGTAGTTAGCTACTTTTTTTTAATTGCTGTTACACATCTTTTTACTTAATGGGAAATTGTTTGGGCTGGCTGTGTTTCAATTGCTTTGGGGAATAAGATGGATTACTCAGCAGAAAAAATTCAAGTAGTGCACCACAATGTGACTTGTTAGCAACGAAAACTTACATTGGAGCACCCCCAGGAGCCCCTGTGACCTAGAATAGGTCTCTGAGCAGGGTATATACTGCCTGCATGTAGTCACCTAACTTAGGGCTCTGAGCCATCTGTAAGAGACACCTGTTCTCTCCATTTGCTCTACAGGTAATTAATAACACCAGCATTAGATACCTAATAAACCTGACATAGATAGCTTGGAAAACTCTGTGGTTCCTTCCTGCCTCTTAGAAACAGTAAGATATGACTTACTTTTCCTCACAGACTTACTGCTGTAAGCAGTGATTGAAGTCCAAACCACAGGTACTCCAGCAGAACTAAGAAGGGAGCATCTCTCTTCATTCTGACTGCCATGCATATCTGCCAGTTAAAGAACCAACCCCATCCACAGAAAAAGTACATTAAAGGATTTTTTTAGACATCTTGGCCCATCTGTGCTGATTTTTGAGTTTGTAACATCAGCAGCATATCCCATATAAATATTTTGGCTATAGAAATATACCAAGTGGATACACTTTGTAACTTTACACCTCCTAACACAGGGTATAAAAATAAGATGTAAAAGTGCAACTGCTGTGTGAACAAAATCAGCAAAATTAAATAAGTAAAGAAACCACGTTTTTCTCCACATTTATCTCTCTCAAGAGGAGAGAACGTGCTCTGAATTACTTCATGAGGATACACAATCTTGACAGTCAAGTTTTGTCAAGGATAATTCTTTTTGCTGTTGAAATAATGTGAATTCTTTCATGGATAAGTAGAAAAATAATGGTTCCTTTGTTAAATTATTTTGATCAAGCTTTTAATTCAATTAATTCCCCGTGTCTTGCAAACATAAGAAGGCAATTGTTACATGACTCGTAGCTTGAGAGGCAAAAATTGCTGTGTCCTTCTGCCAGCTATCTGAGTAGCTCAGGGCAGTCTTACACACATCAACAAATAGCTATAAATGTACTCCCCTGCCCACACTCTGTAAAACTAGGCCATAGACTTTCGGAGCCAAGAAAGGTGATTATGGTTTAGAAACACTGCATTTAGAGTATACAGAGCAGAGGAGATTCAGTGCTTCGTGGAAATTTCATTAGGATAAGAGTATCACATCATAAAATCCTAGATAACCTTTTGGAGTTTGCTGAATCTTCTCTCAACACACTATTGGGCAGACGCAGACCTGACTCTTTGCTGGGTACATTGCTGAAGCCCTTCCAGTGGGAGCAACATGGAGAAGAAAACTAGCCAGTTCTCACACAGAGCCTGGCAATTCGTGAAGTGATTATATGGTGTAAGAAGGGACTGGAACAGTATAAGTTTCTCAAAGTCCTGTTTAAGCATCATAGCAATAAAAAATTTTAAAAAAGGGGGTAGGGGGGAAGATAAAAATGTGCTTATATTTAGCATGCAGACATATCTGAGACCACTGCCTCCCTGCTGTACTACAGTAATACTCTCACTCAGGCAGTGTGCTTTGGTTTAACACAGGCAATGCATATCACTTCCAGATAAGTCTGCTTGATCTTTTCTCTAAAGTAGCAAGGGTAAGATCATAGGACATAAACAGAGTATCAGTGTGTTCAACCTTCAGTGTAAGACAGAAAATATTTTTCACTGATGACAGAATTCCAGCTAGGCCCCCATATTTTTGCTTAGGTTTTCTTTAGAAGCAAAGAAGACTGTCAAAATATTTATTAAATACCCTCAACAAACCCACAACATTTTAGTGCTTTTAAAAGCTATTCACTTGTTCCTGAAATAAAGCAGTAATTCCTGTCAGCCTTTTATCTTAAGCTCTTTCAGCTCTCGGTATGTAAAACTAGTCATAGACTTGGAACACAAATTTCTATGTGTATACAAGCTCTTTGTATAAAATGCAGATAAGTATTGTTGCAGTTGTATGCCTACACTTGTTTAAAAAAAAAATCTTCAAACTGCATTAGCATTCACTAGTCAACTCACATTTTAATGTAAGTATACATGAGACTGTGTGTATACTTTTAAAAAAGATTACTTATAATGTTGGTACTGAAATAGACATAGAAAAATATATTAGACTGATGAGACAGTAAATTGAGAGTCTTAAATGTGTTTTTCATTTAGCATTAGAGATGGAAAAATTAATATTCTAAACATTATTACAGGCATATTTTATAACAGATATGAATAAATTACCTCGTAGCATTGCCTACTAAGAATGAGTAGTCTTATACAAAACTAAAACAAAATCCTCCCCTCCATTTTGATTAACCTAAGAAACAAGAAAACATTTATGTAGCTGCACTGATCTTGAACAGAACTTACCTGAGTTGGAGCTTTAACAAATTTAAATTTCAAAACACAATGCTCAACTTTTAACAAATAAAAAAATATTCAGAATGACATTACTCACCAAAAGCTTGATGAGTAAGTCATGCCTACTTCTGCTCTGGTCTTTGGAGCAATGTCCAGTCTTGAGAAACAACAGAGGGGAGAGGTAGGTCACACATTTTTTAGGCTTTCTGAAACCATTCATGAAAGTTTCATATCACTGGACATTGCTGTTTCTTGAAGCTGTAAAACAGAAAGTAAATCAATGTGATTGAAAATTTCCCTACAGGAAAGAGGATGCCTACTAAGCAAAGAGCTTGGTAGTTTCAAAGTGATCATGAAGAGCAGGCATCAGAGTGAAAGGTCTTCAGGCCTTGCTCCTCTAGCACAGCATTGCCAATGCTTCTTCCTCATGCTAGGTTAGAAATGCATAATGCATGATTCTCTTACTCCTAGCATTGGACTTATTATGCAGCCAGGCAGACCTATCTTTTTTTTTTTTTTGGAAATGAGTCATCATGAATGTATTCTTCTTTTTTATACATTCATCAAGGCAGAGGTTATTTGCTAAAAAGTTTCAAAACCCTTAAAAAAAAATAAACTAAAAAAAAAAACTCCTGCTCCTTCGCATTGGAATGCAATGACCGTACGGTGTGCAGCTTTGAACCAAATCAAGGAGCAGGTCAAGCAATCAATTTTTCAGTAAAAATCCCCATTCACAGCACTAAGGATTTCTATAGGGAAAAAAAATCAATTCTTAACTATTGCCCCAGATTCTACTGAGTAACATGTGCTGGCTACTGTAAGATGAGGCACTATTGTTAAAAAAATGTGGCTATTGCTTTCACAAGTTTGAAAATCCCCTGAGAGGAGAAGTTAGATAAAGGCCACAAAGGGCAGAGAGGTAGAAAAATAAAAATAAAATAAAAAAAAGAAAACAAAAGAAAATGAAAAGAAACAAAACATGCTTTTAGAACTTCACCACTGGCAGGCATTTGACTGGTATAAATTTACAAAACTCCACTTGTGATGCTGGACCTGACATCAGCTGAGAATCAAAGTTGTGAAAAGGAGAGATTTTTCCCATATTATGACTACTGAAATAGTATTCCCACTGCGTCTATCTGGTTTTGTGACACTATAATGTCCATGTCATCTCCATGCCGCAGCATAAAAATTGAATGGCTTTTTAGCTACAAAATTTATTGGACTTTCATCCCACATAGTATATCCTCATTAATACTGAATAGACTAATTTTGATAAAAACCTTACCATAAATAATATAGAGATTAATAATTTAACATCTACAGAAGTATTTCATTTTTCATAAAATCTTATATATAAAGCTTACCTAATCACCATTTGGATTGCCCAGAAAATTCCAGGCACCGTTACCCAGGGTTTGCAGTGCCCTTGTTTTGCACACTGAAAGCTCCTGTTACACTAATTTAGTTCCTAGGAGTGTGACCAGCTCTGCCTGGTGCAACCTTGCACCTGAAGATTACATAAGCATTGAGAGGTTCCCACTGTAGGAACTGATTCTACGACAGATTCATTGTCGTTAATAAATGTTTCATCTCCAAGTCACAATACAGGTTTCAATCCTTTATCTAGACCACATCTAACTGTATGAGTGACTTTATGCACAGGAAAAGACTTTTTTACATGAATGTCAGATATTCTCTGACACTGATATCTTACTGCTTATTTGGAAATGCCTAAGAGAAATTATTTTAGTTATTGGTTTGTATTGTCTATCTGTTTATTCCTCATTCTGTGAAAAACTAATGGGTATTAATTTTTCTTCCAGTCATCATCCATCTTCGCTATTTAGAACATAAACTGAAAGCTGAGGAGGTAATGGGGAGGATCTAGGCATGTCATGTTGTCATTCTCCTCTCTAAGCATCCTCTTCTGTCTGCTGTCATAGGGTGTAGGGTTCTGTGTAGCTTTGGTCTACCTAGTTTGGCCTTAAACTGAAAGAGGATGGGTTTAGATGAGATATTAGAAAGAAATTCTATACTATGATGGTAGTGAGGCACTGGAACTGGGTGCCCAGAGAAGCTGTGGATGTCTCGTTCCTGGAAATGTTCAAGGCCAGGTTGGATGGGGTTTTGAGCAACCTGGTCCAGTGGAAGTTATCCCTGCCCACTGCAGGGGATTTGGAGCTATATGATCTTTAAGATCACTTCCAACCCAAATGGTTCTATGATTTTATGACTCTAGTACAAAGCTGCATGTCTGAAAAACACAAAATAAATATTGTCCTTGCATTCAAAGAAAGAACTGAAGGGGAAAAAAAAGGATTTGGAAAATGAGGATCTGGGACTTTGTGCTACCTGGATTGAAATCAAAACAAACCTGATGGAAATCAGAAATGAATTTTCCTCTCAGTGGTATATATGACGTAGAGTTATTAGTTATAACAACATAGTTTTCCAGAAGTACATTCACACAAAACCAGCAGGACTGGAGCTCAAGATAACACATGCACAAAATCCATTAGTAATTTGTAAGAGCTGAACCATGCTGACAGACTAATTTTTCTAAACAGTTCTGGGCTGAGCTGTACAGCATTTGCCACAGCATTTCACTGCGCAGCACTGGCAGGCTTGGCACCACCTGCAACAAGCACCTCCAGAAATGTCAGTAAATAACACCCTTTTTTCTGCTGCTGCTGACAGAGTGCCCAAAGAGCTCAGATGGGAACAGGTCCTATGTGTATTACATAGGCATACATCAACATTTAACATGTCAAAGGGTAAGGGAGGTGACGACTAGTGTCTTCCTATACATACTCAAGCACTATCTCTCTCTTTCCTTCTCTCTGGAGGGAATAATGCTCTCCACCTCGTGGCTCTGCCCCCACTGCCAGGAACAACTAAGGCTGGAGACAGACGTCCTCCTCATCCTATAGCTGGGCCAGCAGTGCTGTCCTCCCTGCTCCACAACCTGCTAGAGCAGGGGATAACAGCAAGGCTGAGAGGCCAATGAATCAAAAATAATTTTAATGTTTTTGACAGAAACACAACATAATTTTCTGACAAAACCCCCATATACTCTAGCCAGTTGAAATACACTAGTAATATCTCTGTAGGTGTACATTACAGAAATAGCATAGATTTCTTGTAGACAAATGACAAACAGTTTAGCTGAACTACACTGGTCACTGGTAATGAGTGTGAAGGAAGATCCCCGGATCCCAAAAAACAGCGGAAATTGACATAATGGCCAACGGTTTCAAAATCAAGGCACAAGTCAAGCTGTGGTAAGAGATTTTGATTTCTTGATGTGCCAAGCATGTCTGAAAATCAAGCTCCCACTTCAAGCTGGGCAATAAGAATCAGAGGGCCCTAAAGTCAACCTAACGACAATTCATGTCAAATTTCACCTTTTTAGCCTAGCTGCTACCTAATTCATACAACTACCACTAGCAGTACATTCACTGAGAGACAAGAAAAAGAAATTTTAAAAAAAGCAGTATTGTCTTTCTGCTTTGCTTTATTAGCCTCATAAAGTAATACTAATTTTTTATTATTCCCATATAAAAATCCAAAGACTTTCTGTTACAAAGGGAACCTACTTTTCAAATCATAGATTATACTCCAATTAATATAGAATTACTGTGCTCTGATAAAATACGTGATGTGCAATACGTAATAAAAGAGGATTATTTCAAAGATAGTAGTAATAACCATACAATATGTCACAGTATTTTTCATTATTCTAAAAGATTTGTTTTAGCTAGTTTTTCAATAGGTAAAGTAAATCTTCTGAGACAGGCAACTAGAATGTGACTGCAGTTACACTGTACTTGTTTGTGCAGGCACATTAATTCATTATTGCAGAGTTGTTAGTGACCAATAACTTTGTAATACTACCCTTCTCCTTTCAATAAAGGAGAATTGGAACATTTTGTTTAAGCACCCTATATACCCAAATAATTATTCAAATATTATGCCAAGACATAGGCCTCAGATACAGAGCTTAAGAAAGAAACAATGTTTTAAAGGTAAAAAACTTCTAAAATTTCCTGTAACTGTAATATCATTGTAGCTAAATCTTCAGTGAATTATGCAGCTCCAGTGTAACACAAATAACACAAACAGTAAAATAAAGATTTCATCTTGGACTGCATGACAGAAAAAAAAAAAAAAAGAAATAGAGAAAAAAAAGTGCTCACCTGTTTTACAAAGGAATACCCAAATCCTTAATAGTATTTCTGTCAAATCTTTGAGCTTTTTTCCACAGAATCACAGAATCAACTGGGTTGGAAAAGATCTCTGACATCATCAAGTCCAACCTTTGAGCTAACTCCACCCTGTCTAATAGACCATGGCAGTAAGTGACTCTACCACCTCCCTGGGCAATCCATTCCAATGCCCAATCATCCTTTCTTTGAAGAACTTCTTCCTAATGTCCAACCTAAACCTCCCCTGGCACATCTTAAGACTGTGCCCTCTTGTCCTATTGCTAGCTGCTGTGGAGAAGAGACTGACGCCCATCTGGCTACAACCTCCTGTCAGGTAGCTGTAGAGAGAGAAAAGATCTCCCCTGTGCTTCCTCCTCTCCAGGCTGAACAACCCCAGCTCCCTTAACCTCTCCTCACAGGACTTGTGAAAATCTAGAATATAAAATGTAGCTATGTTTCATGCAGTGCGAGTACAAAGACGGAATAGAGAGTTTGGAAGCAGATACATGAGATGGTCCTTTACCACATGCAATGTAGGATTTGGAAGAAAATGTTTCTAGCAACACCAACAGAACAAGGCTACCTTACATTTCTCATTTTCTTTTTTTTTTCCCCAAGAAATTTCCTGTGATTGTTGAATTGCCTGTTTTGAATATTAGTAAAATGAACTTAGAGGGTCAAAAAAATCTTTCATTCAGGATTTTTTTTTATTCTTTTACTTTGTTAGATACCTCTAAGTAAATTAATTCTTCTCAAAATGTCCCGAATACCTTTTTGACTTAATGGTACATTCCTGTCATTATTTATTTTTGTTTCAGCTTTGATTATAATTCTGGTTTTGTAGGCTTTTTTGCTTCTCTTTCCCTCTCTTCCGAGTAAGACTTTACTTTTACCTGTCAAACATTCATCCAGGTTAGGAAAATAGCTTCTCAAGTTTACTCTATCTGCTATTAAAAATATTTGTTTCACCTTTTATTTCAGGGTGCACAGAAAAAGTGTGAAACGAACCTCTGTGAAACAGACATTTCTACACATTTACTACATACTAAGACATTATTTTGTTTTGGTAATATGTTTATGTCCTAATAAACCAGCCTTTAATAATTGGGAAGCATTTTGGTGGGTTTGGTTGGCTCACTTTAGAAAAGCAAAGCATTTGTTTCACTTCAGGACCAGAACTGTCTCCTGGCCCCTTTAAATAAACAAACAATAACCCCAGTCCACCTCGAGGGACACAAATAAATACTAAAGAGGGACTCAGGTTTGTTTTTAAACAAAAGTAGAAATGAATGGAATATGTTACCTAGGCAACAAAACGTCTGAGCAGAGGTAAGCGATAGAAAGAGCTGGCCAGCAGGGAATGAGTCTGGTGACAATGTCAGAGAAAGAAGCAAGACTTCCTCTGTAAGAGAAAGAGAAGAAAACAGAATATTCCAGAATTGAGCAAACATTTCAGAAACAACTTCCTGCTAAATTTATCTAGATGTAAAAAGGTATAAAGCTTAATTCCCCACATTGTTTTACAGCTGGATCTATAATGATGTGAGACTAGTTTTGAAGGATACCCTTCCCCTTTTTTATTTTCATCAACTCACAGTCCTTTCAGGATGCTCACCAGTGGTATGCATGGCTTCTGATACTGAGAGAGGTGTGTGAAGAAATAGTATAATCTAAATACTATGTTCCTGATAAAGTCAATGCTGAAGTTCACACTGATTTTAGTTAGGTAAAGGTATTGGTACTTTAAGACCAAGTTTAAAGTCATGAAGCTCTGGGGAGGGTTTACATTTGTGAAGGCTGGCTTTGCCAGTATTGATTTAGGCCATAGCTGAAAATACCCTTTTACAATACCAGGAGGGGTTAAATTAACATACAGACTTAAAATAAATAAACTTCTGAATATTTTCTAAATTTATACCTTTCAAATGAGTACAGAAAAGCAGTTTTAAAACAACAACATCAAAACATCTCATTATGGAGGAAAAAAGGAGTTTCTATGGCTAAGAAATGAAAAGATTTCATATATCAAGTCACTTGCACATATAATGAGACTGGAGAAAATAAAAAGGCAAAATTTATTTTACCTTGGCATTGAAGCTGAAGAACTATTTGAATAGAAGAGCGATGACATATTTAGTGTCACATTTGTTTATCTGTATGTGGTAATCTAAGGGGCTTGTCAGTGCTGTGTGTCAAGACTTTATATACGTGTGTTCATGGATGTGTGGGTGAGGTGTGTATATACACAATAAGAATGATAAGAGGAACAAAAGAAGAGAACTAAAGAGCTTCAGATGCATAGCATGGATAATGTGATTGACAAAGAATAAGATAACCAAAGGATAGAGAAATCAAATTGACATAATTTTTCTATTTACCACATTCAAAAATAACCCAATTTCATGTGAGAATGAGATTGTAGAAATGGAGACAGATAAAAAACAGCCTGTCACTTGATGGCATAGACAGATAAGTTAAGAGTTTATGAATTTTAATAAATGTGTTGGCCTTGTACAAATTCTATTTAAGATAGTGACAAACTTTCTGAAAGGAAATAAGATGACATTTTTCATACTGATTATATTGCTTAGAATTAGGTATATGCCAACCCTCCCTTTCTTCATCACCCCCCCACCAGAACCCCAATCAAAACAAAATGAAATCTGGTATTATTCTACATATAAAAATATTCATTACTAGCAGGTAGGCAGAAATTACAGATGACTCTTTTGTCCTTTATGTCCACTTATGGTACTTCTTGTTAGGCTACAGAGACCATTTTGAGGTGGTGTACAAAGAGACAACTGAGAGGCTGTTAGTCACACTGAGCTCTTCAGTTGAATTTTTTGCAATAGCAGTATGGAAGCAAAATTGGTGCTGTGTCAGCTCACTGAATGTTAATAATACTGAAAGAAAGAAAGTGTTGTTATAATGCAACCCTTGGGAATAGAGAAGGTCAGAGAGGAGGCAAGAAAAAATTCTAACAAGTATGGAATGAGCCAACTTTCTAATCTTGCAGAATCTAAAGTGGCCTCCTTAATAAGTAACTTCTGTACTGTGTCATTCTTGGACAAATCCATGTGACCTGACTCTGAAGTCAAGGACATTTAGCTATTTTGGGGATCCTCTTTTTTTTTCTTGCTTTTCTGAGAGAGAACTTGGGTTTGGGGAAGGTGAGGAAGAAGGGGTTGACAGACAAGCATAAAATCATAAAGGTCTACCTTTCCTTTTTTTTTTTTTTTATTGGGCAGATGGTATCTTTGTGAAAGAATTTGCCTGTTACTTTCTGACCCATTGACAGATAACTAAATGGATTCCTTGGCCATTTCCAATCCTATCCTATTCAGCAAAGAAATCAAGTGCCAAAATATGGATACTAAATACAGCTCAAAACTTGTTGAATACAGAGTAGGACTTTCTACTAAATCGGAGCTCTCCATATCTGCCCCAATATGACATAAGTAAATGAGTATTAAAAACTAGATGCAGTAATTATTCCTAAAAAATGTAGTTGTCTAAATATCTACTTTATTGTTTATAAATACTGTATGTCTCTCATAAGGTCCTGACCTCACTGGGAAACCTGTTTTCAAGGAGATGTGTGTAAATGACAAAGGATCTTGAATGAAGTGATTGTAAATACATTATTCATTTCTAGTCATTACTGATGACTTATGTATAACTTTTCAGTGACAGAGCTATGAATGACTGTTGTGAGGTCATCAATCAAGGGCATCTTGATTATTAATTCTGTATTAATTCTACACCTACAAGTACCTCATTGCAAATCTTGTTTAGTATAACCACACTCTTTCAATATTTATGATTTTTGTAAATCAGTATTTTTCTAAATTTAAGTATACTGCCTTGAGCAATGTGAGACAGAAAATATATCAACAGGTTTTCATCTAAGTATGTCCTCTATACCCAGAACCCTGAGACATCAGAGTATTGTTGGTCTTCGTATTCTGGGAGGGGAGAGATTATGCCTATAGCAAGCTGTATTTATGCTAATAGAAGCTGTGTCATTGAATTTAAACAAAAGACAATGTCTCTGAATTTAGAGTAATCCATGTATTTGGGAGCAGCTTTTAAAAACAAGTTTATGAAAAAAAGACCTTTTTTAATTTTTATAAGAAACACTATTAGATAATTAAAATTACTATAGTATTTGAAAATTTTTAATTTACTAATATATAACTTAAATACTTTCTTAGTGCACCATGCAGTAAATTATTTCATATTAAGAAGTAATCTCTTGTGTATCAAGAAAAACCTGCTCTAACATTAATGATGAATTCCTGATGGAAGAAACACTTTTGCCCTTGAAAACTGCTTCAACCACAGATGAAGATTTGTCTGTACTAAAACTCAGAGAAGTTATTCAAAATAAAGAAAACTCAATTGATTAGATAGACAGGTAGATAGACAGACAGATAGACAGAAAGAAACATTCAAAATTAATGGAATTAATTGTCACTATGGACACAAGTTGAATCCCTTGCAAATAGAAAGACTTCAAAAACTTAATTTAGATTACCTAAAAAAAGACATAGTGCTAAGCAAGTAGAAGTAGATTATTTCAATCAAGCTGTACAAATATGAATACTCTAGGTAAGAACTCACACGGCTTATGGCAATATATTGAAGCCTGTTCTGACTGAAGATATTTATGGAGAAATTTATAACAAATTCACTAATCAAGTAAAAGTATTTTCAATATATTTTACTGATACTCCTCCTAAAGGTAATGCTCCAGCTAAACCGTATTGTGGTCAAGTTTTCCTTAAAATGCAATTGATGTCCTCTATAATTAAGACTCATCTGGATAATATGTGTAAGTCTTGATATGCACGCAGGTAATCCGAGGCACCAGGATTTAAAGCTAAAGCTTTAAATAAAATTTATTTTAACAGTTGAGAACACTGCAATATATATCTAAATGATCAATACAGCTGGTTAAGAAGGTGAAAATGGAAACCTGTTTTGATGCTTTTCTAACAACACCTTTCGCATGCGCAATAAAACCCCAGGCTGAGTTCTCCCCCTGTGCTTTATGGTCTGCCTTGCCCCTCTGCAGGGGCTTCCA